CATCCCGGGTGATGGATAAGTCGGGGGCTTTCCGTTGGCAGGGAACCGTATCCACAATCCGCAAGCCAAGGGCTTGAAGAGGCACCCACGGCACATGGTCGCCGTCAGCGGCGCCGGTCGAGACCACAAATAGTGGCCCTGGTATCCAAATTCGTGAGTAAACAGCGGCATAGGCGAAGGCTCTGATGGTAAGGGGCGAAGTGGTTAAAGACTCTGCCTTTGTTGGTCGATAAAGATATCGCAGCTTGTATGTGCTCCGTATAGATAATCAATAATAATCAATATCTGTCTGGTACCCGCAGTTTCTCAGTGGTAATAGAAAAGTGCGAGTCAGCGTTGCAAACTGATGGGTCACTCACTGCTCGGAACAGATTGGCAAGACGGGGTTGTTGACATGGCCACGCCTGGCAAGAATGCTGAGATCACCTCGAGTTTCCCAACAGACTTGTGTAAACAGGCGAACAAGCTGAACAAGATTCTGAGGGGAAGGAATAGGCCGGGGAATAGGTAGGCTGCCAAGAGACGAAAGCGGCTGTAAGGGAACAGGCATCGGTGACCGAAGTTCAGCGAGACGGGAAGCTTCGTCTGTGTCTTGAACTCTTGACAAGTCGACTCTGACCTGCACTCGGACGCAAATGGTTTGGCCGGTTGCCTTTCTGGGGAAACTGAATTGTATATCCCCGTTAGCAGAACCTTAATCCTTAATCCAGATAACGTGTCAGCGTGTCTGGCTTGACGGGGACAGAAGAGGCATTCGGACAGGTAATTGTAGGTCTAGCGACATTAGCTCATCTTATTTGGCTTGCTATCCAAGTATCCGTACGGATATCTACTGCATCATAGTGAACCCTTCGTCATCTAGGATCATTTGCCGCTAGCCGACAGGCCGATCAAGAGACAGCGGGAAGCATTTTGGCAGGCCGGATTTTGGCGACGTAAGGCGGTCGAAGAAACAAGTGGATTCTGTACCTTATACTCGTGACAATCGGCGGTACACCATGTTGGAGAAGGAAACATACAAACCACGGTGACTAGGTACCTCGTGCCTTGAACAGCCATCGACGAGCTCAATACCGGTATGAGTGTCTTGGTAGGTACCTGCTTGGGAGCACCCTGTCAAATGTCTGGCGCCGTGTCTGAGTGTGGTAGAGACAATCATGGAACGAGCCTGGAGCCCTTGAGCCTTGTTGTGGTGTTCTGGAGCAGAAGAAAAAGACCGGCGGAGAGAAGAGAAGCACTGAGGTGTGCCCCACTTTGGACATTCAGTTCCAGGCGCGGTACGTTCCCGGTGCGCACCTTACCTAAGGCACCCTAGTGTACTAATCTGGAAGTCTCTGTCACACTCGTAGTGGTTGATCCGCTCTTAGCCAGTCAACGAGAGTTGAAGAGGTGGGACACCATGAGCTCTATCCAAATTCCTCAAATCTTTGTGCTCTTTCTCTCTTCAATCAATGTCAATGAACAGTTGCTGTTTGGCTTGCACCTGTAGATTGCGGGATAGCCTTTACAAGGGCAGTATTGCTTATCTGCCAATTTCTGTCCCGGGCCTCCTTGCCTGCATAATGCTCTCTGCAGGCGCGGATGAGATTTACAGGGGACGGGGCCCACGGTCCACGGTCCACGGCGAGAAAAGTGACAGACGCTAGACCCTATGCGCTCTCTGCCATAGTAATCTCGTCACTCTCGTGGTGTATGTACAAGAGGCTTTCCGGTCGTCTTTTTTCGGTCCCCACATGCCCTGTTGAATGTTCGCTTGGCGGAGAGTGAGAGACCGCTTGGCCCGCAGCGCTTGAGCCGACAGGCATGCCGCTAGTCTTGTTTCGGATCTAACGCCAAGCTCTCGCGCCGGCAGCCAAACTGAGATCTACACTACAAACGTCCCTGCTTTTACTCCCTCTGCACCTTTTACACTCTTCTTTTGTTCCGTTGACTGCAAACCGGAACAACTAGGGATACTTCTCTCACTATTCAGAGACGTGGGAGGCTAGGTGAATAGCTGACAGGCTGGACCTAGATTGGTGAAAACACCGCACAGCGACCATACTGCCAAAACTGGCACCTCAAGTGACTGGACGGGCGGCATTTGAGGTGGGAACCCCACTGTTTGCCAAACGTCTGAAACCCTGCTCTGCGACAGCATCTCTCCTAGTTGTGCCAGTTTACTCCGAAGACTCTACTTGGTCTCGTCAGTCCATCTGAAGAACTGAAGGATCATTTGGTGTTGCTGACAGGACCGGCATTCGTTCGCGACTTGACACAGAATCGCCCTGTTTCTCCCCAGTCATCACCAGGAGCAACTTGCCGAAAGTGAGCTCGGGATCCCCGTGGTCGATTCCATGCTCCTCGCAATTCTGGGAGGGCTGGTCGGTGGATGGCCGAGCCATACACTGTAGTGAGGTGACAGCTTGGTTCTACCGGTAATTTACAGGTCAAAAGCAGCTTCAGCCATGGGACAGTAGAACTTTGGTTTCTGTCTGTGGTGTTCCGGGTAAATAGGCTCATCACACAAGATCGCTCTGGGCAGAACAAGTGGCAATGTTTCTGGAATGCCTTCTGTGGATCGGTGGTTGATGTCCGTAGGGATAGATGAAGAGGCAACCTGGAAGTAAAGTGTTTGGATTTCCCTTGATTGACAGAGTATAACAGAATCAGAGAAGGTCGCTATTACTGGTGGGCAACAGGTCTCGACAGCCTGTCGGCCGGCTCTGCAGATAAGGTGTGAAGGATCCCGGTCCGCTCGTGGCACACTATTACTCGGTACGGAATTTGTGCTTGGGCGTGGGTGCTGTCACGCTGTGGGTGGGTGGGAAGAATGCCAGACAAGGAAGAAACGATGAAGCACCGAATGGCAACCGATCATGTTCTCCTCGGTCTATTTCTGTGATGTGTGAAGCCACGAGTTGTTCCCCGCAGTAGCATCATGGGCCACGACGTTGTACTGCGTAGTGTACATAGGGATGGATAGGTATTTCCCATGTGTGATGAAGAGAATGGAGGCAAATGTTTGGGGACGGTTTGGTTAAGTAATCATAGTGTCTACGGATAGATTGATCTACAAATGGAATGAAAGGGTACCTTGCTTTGTGTACGAAGTACTGTATTGTGCCATACCTTCCACATCTTAGCTGAGATAGAATATAGGCAGTGTGGCAGTCTATCTGGATGTGCGATGGGTGGTACGGTAAGGTACTGCGGAATGGCGGATATGTTGGCAGGTAGGTATGATGAGTTAACGACCTTCCTTGCCGGTGATAAACGACCGAGTCTGTTTGGGTGGATCTGGGCAGTGAGTACTCCGTAAGTAGGTGGGCGGGGCGGATTCGGTGGATTTGGACTTATTTAGCGTTTGTTCACTCCAGACGCCAATGCTGCACCTCCCCACCCGTCTCACACACAAACGAACTCCTGCACCTGCACCTTCAGGGAGGCGCCGGCCGAGGGCTGTCCGCGGTCCCACATTCACATTGGTGCTGCTCCTGTCTCCTCCACTCTCAATACCTTAGGTGCTTAGGAACTGTCTCTGCCCGTTATTACTAAGGCGATGCAAAGTAGACTCTGCAGTGCACTAGGTAGGGCTGTACTTGCGGATTTCGCCTAGCACTCTCCGTACATTTCTTGCGGACAATTGTTCTTGAAGAACAGAGAGATCGCCGAGGAAAGGTCAGACACGCAGACTACCTTCCCAACCTACCTACACTACGTTACTGGAGATAGACACCACGATATCTTCACGATATTCAGTGAGAGCAAGATATCGTCAGCTGCCTGCCTGCCTGTCTTTTATCTTTCCGACGAGACTGTGACATTGCCCAGCCCAGCCCGTCTTCCCAACATCACTGTCTGCAGCCTGCTGACGTCGGGCCAGAATACACACGTATTCGTACACTACACTACGCAGTCCACGGAACACGGCCACACGCTCCTCGTCTTAGTCGTGTCGGAAGAGTGTACTTGATCCAGCTGCTGCGACACACAGACGACGCCTGTACCACTGATTCCTAGACCTTAGCAACGGATTGTCTGTATTCGGGCGTCTTTGTGATAGATTCGCCCGCCCCCCTCCCCCCGGGCCCAGTGCTCCCAAAGACGGCACGGTTTCCCCTTCTTGTCCCTCCATGTCACTCTCCAGCACGCACCTTCTCTGGCCGGTGCCCACGCCTCCCACGCAGTACGAAGTACATAGTATGTACATCTGGGTCATAGCCTGTTCTCCTCCTTCTTCCTCGAGTCTCTTCCTTTCCTCCCCCCTCCCCTGGATTGGCCTGGCCTGGGCAACATCTGGATAACCCTTCCAATACAGACTGATCACGCCGTGATGTGCCTAAAGGCAAGGTACCCATAAGTACCACTCTATTCACCGTGAAGGGAACCCCGGTCGTTTCTTGGTTCCAGCAGGAAAGTCTCCAGCGGGTTGGCTTCTCTCGCTTCTGAATACGGCCCCTGGGTATCCTGCCTCCGCAGCCGGTAGAGAAGGGAAAAAAGAGGAACCCCCCGGCCTCCCACCAATCAAAGTCCCGGACGCTTCGTGTCGGACCCCAAACCCAAACTGTTCCTGAATCGTCCAACCTTGTCTGGTATTACCCTCCCGCACCCGCACTCTCCTTCTCACTCCCTCTTTCGCCCTGTCCTACGCCTATTCCTCTCCTTCTCCTCCACGACCCAACTACCCACGCCCTGCCTCTCTTTCTTGCACACTACTGATTCCACACCTGTCCACCACGCAACACCACAATTCCCGACAACCTCGTAATCACCATCCTGCCGACTCACTCGATCGATTCTCAGTTCGACTACATTTGGCGACGACTGGTTCGGAGCGCGGCACAATCGGCAGAGGGTTAACGACGCAGGCAACCGCGGGTTGAGGCCGGGATTGGATCTGCATTTGGGCCTACGGGGTCAGCGGCGGACGCCCATGTTGTGAACTTGGTGCCACCACACTCTCAACAGGCCGCAGCTCGTCGTCGACATTGAAACCCGACCATCGAATCAACATCACCATGGATCCATTCCACGACAAGGCAGGCAACGAGCGGAGGGCTTCCCTCAGGATGTCAGCGAGGGCTTCTTTGACCGCCGACGATGATGACTACGACCTAGCAGCAATGGGCATCTCAGACGGCTTTCGCCCAGCCAACGTTTCCGCTTCCCATCAACCCATCAACTCGATCACCAACCCTTCGACTGGCTCGGCGGTTGTGTCACGAGAATCTCCCGTGCCTCAGCGCGTCACACCCCCTCGACCTTCCAGCATCTCAAAGCCTCCTCGATCCCACGATCCGCTAGCCCTCCGTCACGATGGTTCGACGTCTCAATCTCAATCCAACGGCGCTCCAATGTCTCGCGTCTCCAGCGCTTCGAGTGATTCACCCATAATCAGATCCGAGAGCCCCTACGAGGGACCATCTGGGCCGTCCTTCCCGTACCAAATGTACCCGCAACGGACCAACAGTGTCGCAACATCAAACACCGCTCGCATGTCTGAAAGATCATACGCCGGGCCTCGCGGACCGACGCACCCATACACACTCTACACGCAAAACACCGTGACCCCCGACACGAATGATGGTGACAACATCCCCGTGGGATTTGCTGGCCGCTCCGATGGATATCACCGTCGAATTGGGCCAGATGGAGAGGAAGCCGCCGACCTGATCGGACCATTGGGTCACACCGAAGAGCTCCCACCCTACACTCGATATCCCGAGCAGGCCTACACAAGGAAACAACCTGGTGAACAACAACCATCATCGACGCCTCCAGTGCAATCCCAACCAGAACAACAACGGCAGCCAGAGCAGCAACAACCACCGGCACAGCAGCCTGCCGTCACGGTTATGACTGCCACGGTACCCGCCATTCCCGCTGGCGCTGGCGGCATCGGACTTGCGACACGCAACCCTGAGTTCGAGTCACGAGAGGATTTACGTCTTTCATCACCATCCCGAACGTCGTCTCGCACGTTAAATGACGAGACTGCTAGCCAACATGAGATCAATACTGCTGCCGAGTCCTACGCGGAGAAGGGAGAAAACGCGTCCGACCGCAAATGGCAAAAGAGGGCAAAGAAGAGGCTGTTCGGTGTCGTTCCTTACTGGGCTATCTGCTTGTTGGCAGTTGGACTGGTGATGATGTGAGTTGATATCAAATTCCTTCGTTCTTTGTTTGATGCAACTAACCAAATCCAGGGGCATCATTCTCGGTGCTGTCATTGGAACATTCTTCGCCAAGCATAAAAAGCCGCCCGGCAAGCATCAGGACGATGAGCCTATGCCAGTGGTTATCCCAACAGCCACGGTTGATGTGAAGCCCCTCGCTACTCTCCCACCGGATCTTCCACCAATGGAAATTGGTACTTTTGGTCTGCCGCCTCTCATTGCAAGTCAGGCACCAAGTACTTGTTTCAACGACACAACGCAGGCCCAAGCCTGGACCTGCAACATCCCCTTTACCAGCTATGTCATGGGCGTTTCCAGAATCGCCAATGAACTACCTATATCTGATTACACCTTAAAACTTACTACTTTCAATGACAGCGATCACGACGACAACTCTAGGATCAATATGTTCTCGTGGGGTACTCAACCACCACTGATTATGGATCCTCTGAAGATGCGGCTTGTCAACGACACTTCTGAACAGGGACGCGGCGCCGCATGGTTTGCTCAGATGACCTACAACAAGACCGTGGTCGTACCTGAGGATAGGTTCCCTGGTGTCACCACTACCCCCAGGAAGCAGCAGCCGCAATCCAAACGGGGCGGATCATGGGACGGACCACCGCCTGGTATGTCGGAGTTCAGTAGGAAAGGGGTCAAAGGAGCGCAGGCCGGCGACCGGCCTTGGATTTGTACTTGGCCTGGAACCCTCCTCGAAGTCTTCGTCTACCCTGCCCAGAACAACAGCTATCAAAGAAAGCCCTCCACTACAACGTCCAGGCCTCCAGCGGCGGCAACTTTCCCTCCTTCAACATCGACACAGTTCTTGGTCCGTGGACTGCAAACTCAGTCTCCCCAATCAAGTCCGATCCCGACTGATAGGCCACGCCGTGCCCCACCACCACCCTACCCTCAAGTCATCAAATTTGAAGAGCGACGTGTTTCGCTCGACCAAACCAAGAATGCCTACTGCCGACAAGTCGAAGTCTGCGATGATGGTCAGAACACCGTGCCCGTACTAGACGATCAGGGCCAGCCAATCGAGGTCATGATTATGGAAAACCGGCAAACGGTAGCAGTTGCAGATTCGAGCAAACGCTGGATACACGAAGACAGCCTCTTGGTATCACCTCGAGACCGACCATCCAGGACAAGTCAACTAAGCGACTGTGGATGTATATGGTGGTTCACATAACACCCATTTCCCCCGCGACCGACGAAGTCCCCACCACAACCATGATTTACTGTACGGATTAATGTACCACACACCATCTTTGCGTCAACAGGCTGTACTCTTCAACGCGGCTTTTGACTTTTTTGTTTGGGGGCGTCAATTGAGAAATGGATGAGCATCTATGGGCGTCATTCACTAGGGCGCAATTAGGCAGGCGATTGTATATATATTTGGCAAATACCTATGGATGGGCAAAGATGCCCCCGAAAAGCCACCTGTAGGACGGCGGAAAGGTTTACTTATATAACCTGCCGATTCCTCTCAGAGTAGGCTACACACTTATTTAAAGAGATTTATTCATGTTGCAAGTCATCCTATCTTAGTCGTAGTGTTATGTGTAGAGCGGTAGGCATAGAAGAATTCAAGGCAAGGTTACAAGTGATCACAAAACGCATTGTATGTCTATACGGTCTGGCTCTCATGATGTATGCCTGCTGCCGCCTACTGGGTATCATTTTCAAACATTGTCTCCCGCCCTCAACGGTCGCTCTTCATGTCAGCCGCCAGTCCATCCAAAAAGTTCTCCGCCATCTTCTTGGCCCTCCTGGCCTCAACCTCTTTCCGCCGCTGCTCAATCTCCTTGCGCCTCACTTCCTTCTTCTCCTCCCTCTCCTTCCTCGCCGCCTCCGTCCGCACTCTTTCTTCTTCGAGCCCCTGAAACTCCTTTTGCCTCGTCTCCTCGTCCTTGCTAAACTTGTAAAAGCCCGTGCCCTTTGTGCGGATCTCGCTGTCGGCGTCGTAGTGCCTGGCCTCAGGCGGCGTGGCGCTGCGGTCCCGCTTCTTGGCCAGCTCGGCCATCTTGTCCGGGTCCTCGGGGTTGAAAGCCATGGTCTGGATGGCGTCGCCGTACAGCAGCTTGGCCGGGGCCGCGGGGCGGGCCGACATGCGTTCGAGCTCTTCGGCGCCGAGGAGGCCGCGCCGGCGCTGGCGCTCGAGGCGTTCCTTGTCTGCTTTTGTGCCGCGGCGGAGACGGCCGAATTCGTCTTCGTATTCTATTATTGCGCTGTCCTCGTCGTCGTCGTCGTCGCCGTCACCGTTGGACTCGTTATCGTCAGAGCCGCTTGAACTTGCTTCCCGGCGGCCGTTGTTCTTCTTGTCCTCGGATTCGGCCCATTTCCGGTCAAAGTCGATGAGGGGCGCCGCCTCGTTCTCCTTGGGGACGTAGTCGCCCCGCTTCATGGCCGCGTAGAGGCGTGCCTTCTCTTCCATCTTGCGTCGTGCGCTGGCTAGGTTTGATGTTTCTTCTTCCGTGCCGAGGGGGTCTTTTAGGTTCAACTTGTTGCTGCTGGCTGCTGCGTCTGCGGACTTCTTGCCATGCCTGTCGCCATCTCTTCCTTTTCCACCAAAGAGACTTGCTCGTGCCTTGGATGGTCGAGGCCGGGCTGGCGCTGAGGATGCTGTGGAGGGCGCCGACATGAGGGAGGTGAGTTGAGCTGTGAAGTCGAGCGAGCTGCCGAGGGCTGTGTCGTTTTTGCGCTTCTTGGGCGGCGGTTGGCCATAGAGGTTTGGATCTTGCGGGGTCTTGGTGTGCTGCATCTTGGTGTGCTCCGATGATATCACTCAGATTGATCAGAAGTCTAGAAGAATGCTTGCTGTGTTTGAAGTCGCTGTGTATGGTGGTAGTGTTCGTGAGAGGAGGTGTAGGTTGGGAGACCTGGCCGAGAAGCATGCGCGCGCTGTCAGCGAGTGCTATGGAAATCACCTCGAGGCCCCTTATCGTTATCGGGGTCAGGCGACACCAAAGTAAGCCTACCCCAAGCGAAAACAGAATTCAAACGGCCCCAGGTACCCTAGAGCAGAGCTTCAGGTACCCTAGAAACGACGTTGTCGATTAATTTGAGACCGTCCGTCCCCCAATTCGTGTTGACTTGAACCAAACGCCACGAAGCCCGGGAGAAGGCTGCTAGCATCCTTGGAAACATTTACTACTTCCCGTAGGTTCTGTTTACGAATAGATTTCCAGACGGTCCAGTTGTAAAGTTATGACACCTCAAAACTACAGTCAAGAGTAGCTTTCCTTATTCGGGTCTGCTGCCCCTATCGCATCATTGTAAATATTTACGGCATCCCATTAATGGAGGAACTTGAACAAACCAAGGGGAAAGCTAGCCTCCTTTTCGGTCAACAGAACCGTCAAAATGCAATTAGCAGCCCGACAAAGTAAGCACATAAACAAACGCTGCATCAGGAGAGGGACGCTTTTCGCAGCTCATTACGCAACCATGACCTATCCGCCCATCAAGCTACTACTCTAGTCTCTCGCGAAAATCTTGCCCTCAAAGCACAGCCCCTTCATCACAACCTCGCATTCGCTCTACCCAGAAAATGAGCTGTGCCCGGTCCCGGACTCGCTCGGATGCTGTATACGTTTCCGCGCTGAATCTGTCACTGTCGAAGGGACGGCCGTCGTCCCACCCGAGGCTTCCAGTGGTGGCGGTGGTGGTGGCGGTTGTGCCTTTTGCTGTTGCGACAGGTGCCTCGGCTCACGCGAAGACGTCTGATTTTGGCTTTGATTCCATGGACGGCTCCAGCATATTCTGTAGATGTAGATGACGATGTCTACACCGATCAGGAGGAGGATAGGGCCAAAGAAGCAAAATCCCAGTGCGATCTATTGAGTGTTAGCGACGCGGCGGCTGGGATGGAATTAACGGGACTTACAAAGGCGCCTGAGATGTATCTGACAATGGTAGGATAGTCGGAGTGTAATAATGAGTAGGTCATCATAGTGTCGTACCACGAGACGGTTTGCGCGTGAGTATCCATTAGGGGATTGCGGGAGCAACGGCGACGGCCGTTGACTATTTGAATTGGAAACTGACTGACGAAAGATGACGATGATGGGAGAATGACGGGAGCAACTGAATGCGGCGGGGTGTTCTTGGATCGCAATGGCCGGCTGGTGCAGTCGCGCGTGTAACGACAGAAATGTGAGGCAGTCTGACGGCAGATAGCGAAAGGTATGTTGGGAGTGGTATGACGAGATGTAGTTGAGCAATCAGGAAGAGGTCGTTGCTGGGGATCCTAGACCCTCTGCGCCGAGGGGTACGATTGGGGGGGGAATCGCTATCTTAATAAATATTCCCCTCGGTCATGGTCTTGGGCGGGCCAGTCGTGAGACAGTCAGGTGTTGAGAGCCGAGGTGGATAATCAGGCAAAGGGAGGCATTGATATAGATGCTTATGAGGATGCGCGAACAGAGCATGGGATGGCCGACCGACGCCTCCGTCACGTTTTAGTATTTAGTCCAGATCGAGCGGCCACGGTGCAACGACTTCTGACTCTGTAAGTGACAAGGCATTTTGGTAATCTTCCGAGAGCCCCCCCATTCGATGGAATTCACAGCAGCTGGGACCCTACGTGTTCCCATGTCTTAAGGCCGAGATGGTAGAGTCACCGCGTTCCTCTCTCACCATTTTTCTGGTCTTTCACCAATCCATCATTGATACAAACTACACCTGTATCTGAAAACCTGTCGTGCTCTGGACGGGATGGTAAAAGGGGCCTCTTCAGCGTTGGAAAACATGGTACCTGAACTTGTAAGGTACACCGGCGGGTGGCTGATCACCCGGAACGAGTGACGCAGCCAGGAACCCGCAGCGGGCACGGGCGCGTTAGGTGGGCCTGCAGCTGTTATCGCTTATCACCCAGGTACCGATACCCTGAGGTTCACGGGGAGATCAAGCGTCAGTACTCACCGCCTGCCCAATCGGCAGCTTTCATCGTCCCCCCGCCATGCATCACCGCCTGCTCCCATCGCAACTTTTTGATTTTTAGGCGGCCAATTGTTCACTTCGAGCGCATATCAGACGACTCCCCATCCAAGCCGTCTCTCTACCCGAAGATAGCTTGAAAGCCTCTACTCATCCGTTGCGGCTCTATTCACAGACAATTGATCGGATTCGATCAGTGACCGGCCATGAGTAGACCGGAAAAGAAAAACAAAACCACAAAGCGGGAGGAGTATCGCAATGCGCGCAACCAGGATGGCGTAGCTGAACTGCCCAAAAAGAAGTTCTACCGCCAACGCGCTCATGCAAACCCCTTCTCGGACCATCAATTAGTCTAGTTGAGTCTCAATAGTCATACCGCCCTCGTATTTCTACTCTCTCACTAACTGTCACCGTTCCAAATGAAGCCCGGCTAGTCCAGACTCCATGAACTGGACGCAGTACTATCCCGCCTTTGCAGCCAATGAAGAGACTCCCTCCACCAATCCCACAACCACGGAATCCATGACTCTGGATGCTTCGAAGCCGAAAACGCGCAGTCTGACAAAGGATGTGGAGGTTGTTGATATTGGCTGCGGCTTCGGAGGCTTGACCGTAGCTCTGTCACCGATCCTCCCAGAGACCCTAATTCTCGGTAGGTGGACTCTATAAGCTTGAATCCGGTGATTGTGCTGACCTTCCTCCTCTCCGCAGGCCTCGAGATCCGCACTTCGGTTACAGAATACGTCCAGGAGCGCATCAAGGCCCTTAGAGTTCAGAACCAGGAGACTGGCGGGTACCAGAACATCAGCTGCCTCCGCGCCAACAGCATGAAGTTCCTCCCCAACTTCTTCAAAAAGGCACAGCTGTCCAAGATCTTCATCTGTTTCCCCGACCCGCACTTCAAGGCACGGAAACACAAGGCTAGAATCGTA